CAATCCACTCACCTCAGCCTCCCAAAGGCGTGGGATTACAGGCTGAGCCACCGAGCTCAGTGGTCCATATTTTATGTAACTTTTTTAGTACTTTATGTTTAATAGAACAGCTCGTTTGGATTTTCTACCCATAGCAGGCACTGGGGTCCAAGTCTGTGAACACAAAGCAGAGGGTTTGGTTGGGCCTTGGTGAAGTTGCCAACAGATGGTGTAAAGCATTTAAATGCCTGTCTGATGTAGTAGAAATTCAATTTCTGAATATAGATGTTCAGCATTTTTTTTTTTTTTTTGAGTTGGAGTCTCACTCTGTCACCCAGACTGGAGGACAGTGGCTGCTCCCAGCCCCCGCAGCCTTGACCTGCTGGGCTCCAGCGATCCTTCAACCTCAGCCTTCCGAGTAGCCGGAATAACAGGTGCGCATTACCACGTCCGGCTAATTTTTTTATTTTATTGTAGAGATGAGGGCTCACCTGTCCAGGCGGGTCTCGAACCGTCAGGCTCAGGCAATCCACTCACCTCAGCCTCCCAAAGGCATGGAATTACAGGCTGAGCCACCGAGCCCGGCTTTTTTTTTTTTTGAGTTGGAGTCTCACTCAGTCACCCAGACTGGAGTGCAGTGGCACGCTCCCGGTCACCGCAGCCTCGACCTGCTGGGCTCTGGCGATCCTTCCGCCTCAGCCTTCCAAGTAGCTGGAACTACAGGCACGAGCTACCACACCTGGCTAATTATTGATTTGTTGTAGAGATGAGGTTTCACCAAGTTGCCCAGCTACTTGGAACTACTTGTCATAAGATGTTGCTGCCAGGGGCTCCTTTAACACTTCCAAAGTGGCTTTTCTGATGAGCTCCTGGGACCCCACCCATAGCATGCTGCCTTCATGGGATGTGCACAGGCCTGGTTCCATGCTGGGAGGATGCAGACCCTTATTCCTGGAGCTACAAGTGTACTCAGAGATCTGCAGGCAATTGTGCTTTATTGAGACTCATGTCCCTTCCCTTCAAGACTCATCTCCCTTCAAGGAGGCACAGAAGAACAGGGGAGGGAGAAGGGGCCCAGGAAACAGCCGGCTCTGATGTCACCCCAGCGGGAGGGGCCCTCTAGTGTCTGGCCCATCCTTCTGGCTCACCCCCCGCCCCCGTGAATCAGCTGCCTCTGAAGGCCACAGGGTAGAGAGGTGGGTGCCGAATGTTCTCTCGGCTGGCATCGTGGTTGAGCCTTTGCAGCAGTTGTGCCCTCCATCCAACTCTGGGACACAGCTCTGGGCATGGCCTCCAGGCCGGACGTGCCGGGCACACAACTGCTCATTCCAGAGAGCTCCTGAGAGTTCATTCCAATGTCTCTTCTTGCAGGGCTCCTCCCATACCTTTTGCGGTCCCAACCGGCCGAGCCCCAACACGGTGTCCTCACTACCCCAGGATCTTGCTGTCCATCCTTGCAGATCTTGCTCTCAATCCTGAATGCAGGACACATTGCAGTGAACTCCCAGGTACTCTGCAGTCCCCAGTACCCCAATCTCCTGGATGCCAGGCTCCCTGTGCCTGATGCCAGAACCTCTTCCTCCTGTCCTGAAGCTGGGAGCCCTTTGACTGGCAAATCCCCTTTCCGCAAACCCCCTCTCCCTCCCTTGGCGGCTCCCTGAGTCTACTCTGTCCTTCTGTGAGGTCACCCTTTTCACATCAACACACGAGTGATATCAGCAATTTTTGTCTTTCCGAGATATGCTAAGTAGCTTAATGTCATCATGCCACACTGTGTACATATCTCTAAACATCACATGGATCCCGTAAATGTGTACAGTTAGGAATTGTCAATTAAAAATAGTATTGATAAGAATGTAATAACCAACAGGCTGTGCAGGAAGGCTGCCCGCTTGACCGCCCCAACACCTGGCTTGTGGCTCGGCCTCACCTGTCTCAGGGATCAACTGGAGCTATCTGGCTTCTCTGTCAGCTGGTCTTCTTGACCGGCAGGCAGAAACATCGCCCGACGGCATTGAAAGACCTCCTCATGGCCCTATGCCAGCCCCGGCTCTCTCTGTTGTGAGAGGTTGAAATCCCACCCTCTGGCTGCCCAGTGTGGAGGAACTTGGAATATGTGATACGTGTAGTCGAATGAATCTTCAATAGATTCAATAAGGGATCCCATGGTTTTCATGATGTTATTTCAGGGTCCTGGTTCTCAGGACTTTGTTGTTGTTCATCTGCCCTAGGGATCTCTACTATGGGGTTGACCCATGGGCCTTGTAAGATGGTGACCCCCAGCGTGGCCCTCTGCGTGGGGTCGATCACCAGTATTTTTTGATGAGCGCCTCCAGGGTGATGGAGAAGTAATAGGGAATCCTGTACTTCCCTGCGATGATGTTTGCAGTGAGGTTTTTTTTTTTCTGAGTTGGAGTCTCACTCTGTCGCCCAGACTGGAGTGCAGTGGCCACTCCCGGCCACCACAGCCTCCACCTGCTGGGCTCCGGCAATCCTTCCACCTCAGCCTTCCAAGTAGCTGGAACTATAGGCATGCACTACCATGCCCAGCTAATGTTTGACTTATTGTTGAGTTGTCTCGCCAAGTTGCCCAGGCAGGTCTCGAACCCATGAACTCAGGCAATCCACTCACCTCAGCCTCCCAAGGCGCGGGATTACAGGCTGAGCCGAGCCTGGCACAGTGAGGTCTTTCAAATTGTCGTCATTGAACGGTGGATTCCTGGCGACCATAAAATATAAGACAGCCCCAAGGCTCCATGCATCCACAGGTGGCCCGTGGTATGCATGTATTTCCGGGGCAGTGTTCCACGGGGAGCCACACATGTCAGTGAGCCTCTCACCCTCCTCAAACTCAGTGCTTAGCCCAAAGTCGGTGAGCTTGACTTCCCCACTGTCCCCCAAAAGCACGTTCACTGGTTTGATGTCTCAGTGTGCGATGTGCTTCTCGTGGCAGTAGCGGACAGCGAGCACATCTGCCAGAAGAAGTGTCGAGCCTATTCCTCCCCAGGCGGCCCTTCTGGCAGATGTGATGGTCAAGGTCTCTTCCACAGACATACTCCATAGAGATATCAGTGCTGTAGTCACTATTGATGACTTCAAACAGTTGCACGATGTTGGGGTGTCTTAGCTGCATCATGATTTTGGCCTCCGTGTAGCATGGCCACCAGCAGCTGGAGGCCAGCTACTCTCTGGTGATAACTTTCAGTGCTACTGGGGTCCCAGTTCTTACGTTTTCAGCGAGGTGTACCTTGCCAAAAGAACCGCTGCCAAGAGTCTTGAGGACTCGGTAATGGCATAGGGTGTCCATATGGGTGCCATCCCACTGCATGGCGTGACTCTGCTACTACTAACTACTACTATATTCACTACAGCAACTAGACTAGAAAAGCTAAGAATATGAACAACACTAATAATACTAAGTTGCTAACACTACTGCAAAAACATGCTAAATCTACTAAGACTACTAAAAAAGACTAAGAGAAAAGTCAAAGTGTGCGAACTATACTAATAATGCTAACTAACTAAATTTAGACAGAAAACAAGGGAAGACAAGATACACACAAGGAAAAGCACCAAGAAAATGAGAAGATGGGAAAAAGAAAAAAAGGGAGAAAATAGTAAAAGAATAGACAAAGAGGAGAGACCCAAAAAGACTAAGAGATGAAAGAGAAACAAGGCAATAGAGAAAGGAACAAATGAGAATGAGGAAAATGAGAAAAAGAGAGAAAAAGTAAACAAAGTAGGAAAACACCAAGGATCAACAGAGTCAGCACACGGTCTCACTCCACAGGGGCTATACAGGTTTCCTGGGATGTAATGACCAAAGACCACAGGCCAGCCAGGGGCTTATATAGCCGTGCAGGCTTCCATCACAGTGGCACTTTATGAGGTCAGAGAAGCTGTCGTGGCTTGGCTACTCCCCAGGTTTGGGTTTTTTTTTTTTTTTTCATTTTTTGTTTGCAATAACCTTTTTCTCCTTGTGACAGAAGGTGTTCTTTGTTTGTTTGTTTCTGTTTGTCTAAGTAGGTTCTAGAGACCGATGTTTGCTTTCTCAAAAATTAACACCTGACTGGGCTCATGCCTGTAATCCCAACATTTTGAGAGGCCTGGGTGGGAGATCACTTGAGCCCAAGCTTTCAAGAACAGACTGGGCAACATAGGGAGACATCATCTCCACAGAAAACTTAAAAATCGTGCATCTGTAGCCCTAGCTATTCAGGAAGCTGAAGGTAAGGATTGCTTGAACCCAGGAGGTTGAAAGTGAGGTGAGCCGTGATCATGCCACGGCACTCAAGCCTAGGAAACAATGAGAGTCTACTAAAAAAAAAAAAAAAATCAGTCAAAGCCTGCAGTATGTTTTCATATCGTTTTTATTGTTAATTGGAAAATCTAAAATAACTGTTAGTTTCTCAAAATTCCTTAATGTGTACTGTCAAATTACCCCCTTTTCTTTAAACTCTGAATGATTTGTGTCAAAATGTTGATGACACTTAACTGACATCATGACACCATCAGTACATGTTCTGTTGCATAAGATGTAAGATACATGGTTGGGTTGCCAGGAAGATAGCCCGCATCATAATTTCTTCCTAAGATCATCAGGCAATCCACTCACCTCAGCCTCCCAACATGCAGGATGACAGGCTGAGCCACTGAGCCCAGCTCGACCTTCAACATCTTATTAGCCTGAGCTTTTATTATCTTACAGTGCAATGGGGGAGAAAGCGAGAACCCTTAATTTTCCACTGGTGACTGCCATTATGTGGACCTTTCTGATGCTTGTTTGAGAGGAAGGAACTGGTTCCAATGATCACTGAAGCAGTTCAGGGCCTCTCTTGTGAATAAAACATGCCATGTAATTGCAGTGACATAGTCAACACGCCCATATATGTAGAATCAATGCTTATTATCCCATCAATTAAGACAGAAAATTCAGCAAGATTTTAGGTTTTGTTCCTGTTAGTAATCCACCACCACTAAGAGGGCCTGAGATCTCTGGTAATCCATCCGTTCTTCATTTAGGATTTCAATGCCCACAGAGTAAATAATTCAGGCAAGAATGCTCAGCTTAAAAAAGTTTGACTGAAAACCCGAAGGAGTTGTCCACTCTAACAAGGAAATGCTCAGTTGCATTTTCCTGAAATGGCAGCTTACATGGGGGAAAGGGCTTACTTTCTAAGCAGTCTGAAAGGATTTAACTGTATATATTCAAACTTCCCATAGTTTTAAAATAAGTAACACATTTGCACGCTTCATCTACATAAAGAAGTAGATAGAACATTTCCTTTTGGCTTCCGTGCCCCATGTGCCCAATTTTGTTCTTCCCCTGGTGATAATCACCTTGGCCTGAATTAGTCTAAATTAATTTTTTTGCGAGAAAATTCCACACATGGTTACCATACACAATCTAGATGATCTTCAGTTCTTTGAAGATAAGGCACAGAATAAATGAAGACATAAATTCATAACTACAAAACCAGGGATCCAATGGAGACATGATGGGGTGATGGCTTCCCTCCCTCTCTCTCTACTGGGAATTTTTTGGTGGCTCTGTGCCACTGCCTGATTTCTAATCAGTCATTACCTGTGTTTCTGAGAGTGGGAGAAGTCTCAGCACTGCTTAGCTCCATAATTGGAGGTGTTTTGAGCCCTCTCTGTCGTCCTGGTGGAGTTCTTGGCTGTCCTTTTTCACACCTGATGATGAGTGCTTTCCTTACTGCTCTGTGCTCTGTTCTTACCTACTCCTGCCTTCCTTCAGCAAACTGGAGGGCTCAGCCTTCATTCAGACCTTTGTTTTTTCCAGTTCATATCTCCAGCATGTGACTTTTCGAACCTAATGGAAGCTATTTCTATGCTGGTGTCAGAGTTTGAGAGTAATCTGCTTGAAAGAAGTAAAATACAATATGCCATAAATTCCTGTTGGTGCTTCTGTGTTGAAGAGAATGTAATTTAACCTGGAGAGATTTGGATTCCCAGCAAGATTTATTTTTTGGAGCTTTTGTTTTACTCTGTTTTGGACAACATTTCCATCATAGTGTGCATATGGGTTTTAAAAAACATTGTTGATGAAATTATCCTTTTAAAGCTCAAACTTGTCTTTCCCTTGGCATGCTTGAAATTGGACAGATACAAATAAAGATAAACAAGCTGTAAACAGAAATATCCAATCTTGAGCCCAACAGAGATATTAATACACTGAAGAAATCTATTTGGGGGATTCTAATTTCCTTAACAAAAAATATGTCCTCCTGGGATCTGACTGAAGAAAGCAGGCATCAGCAAGTTTCCTTGAACTCCTTAGCACTTGTCATGATGATAAATTATTACATGGCATGTCTGCCTGAGTAAATCCCACCACCAATTTTAAGTTGCTAAGCCCTTTATAGGTTTTGGGGAGCACAGAGTACCTAAAAATAATACCCCAATAAGGATTAGCTGATACCTCAGTTATCTCCACTTGAGTATCATTGACACTACTGACCAGCAGAAATTTCTATCTCTTCATATACTCTGAGATTTCTTCTTTTCAAATATGTGTTACTTTTGGAAGAAACACGTTTTTGAGTTATTTCTTCATAGGTGTATGAATTAGAATAGAATTTTGCTTTTTATATACATCCATTTAGCCATTTCTTCATTCATTTTCCATTCATTCATTCATTCATTCATTCATTCATTCATTCATTCATGTGTCCCTTCATTCACAGAGTCAGTAATCATCTGGCATTCAAACCAACAGAGGTTGAGTACCAACTGTGTGCCAAGCACTGTGCCAGCTACAAATAGATCCCCACCTTTATGAGGCTTCCATTTTAGTAGGAAGACAGACCATAAACAAACATGAACATCAACTGATTTTGAAAAGGGAATCTGACACATTGCTGCAGGGTAGCATGAGCTGACACGTTGAGGTGGGGAGCTACTTTAGGTTGGAAGATCAGGGAAGGCCTGATTTCAGTTGAGTCCCAAATGAGGTAAGCGTCATGTGCAGTGCTGGAGGAAGAGCATTCCATGCAGACGGAATGGCACAGGTGGAATCTTGAGACATGGCAAGGAAGCCATTGGGGCTGGAGCAGAGTAACTGAGAAGCCAAGGAGTGGCTTTCTCTGTCATGGTTGGAAGGCTGGGATTTATCCTGAGAGCAATGAGGAGTTGTCAGAAGTGTTATAGATGTGTAAGAAGGTAAAGAATGGATTGTACTGAAGGATGTGTCAGGTGGTGTAGGAACATGTGGGGAGTTAGGCTGGAGACTGTTGAAATGGTCTGTGATGAGGATGAGAAATAAGAAATTTGTACCAGGGATAGTGGGAAAGTGAGGGAAAATGAGGGGACAAGTCTTGTACCCTGCAGGAAGTGGGGATATGGGGAAAGAAGGAACCTCTAGGTTAGACAGCTTGTTATGGAATTAAGGTTTTGTGATCTCTAGAAGTAGAGAAAACCGGAGGGGCAACAGGTTTGCTGACAGATGGAGATACAAAGGACAGGAAGAGGGTGGGCTCTTGGAGACTGAAAGGCCTCAGAGACTTTCACGAAGACAACAAGAGGAAGCAGGACAAAACCTCCTGATGGTTTCACCCAGTCCATGTAGAAGGTCTGGGCTGGAGGCTGAGATTTCAGAATTCATTCATTCAGAATGTATTCACTAGACCCCATACTAGGATTAAAGAACACCAGGGTGAACGACACTGGGTGTTTCCTTCATGAAATTTTTGTCTGGAGTGCAGTAATTAGACAAAAATTGATGACAGAGGTGTGTGTAATGTACTCAGTGCATTCAGAAAGACAAGTAGCTCAATCTACCTGGGGAGGTCCAAGTGGTTTTGTGGAGGAAGACTCTTTCAGCTGGATCTCAAAAGAGAAGTAGAGGTTGAACAGACGGAAAAAGGCATTTGAGGTAAGAGGAACAGTATTTGCAAAGGCAGAGAGGCACAGAAGTGCATGGTATGATTGGCGTGTGTGGATGTACCGTGGATGTACATCTGGAAACATCCTAGGGACATGGCTGGAGACACACCAAAGTCCTAGAGGAGCCACCACAAGCTTCCATGGCTCCTGGGGCCAGACAAGCCTGGGGTGAAGGTGCCTGGAAGGAAAACAATAGGGAACAGTGGCATCTTCATCAGTCTGGAGAGT